TGACAAACTATTTCTTTTAAACCTTTGGTAGCGATTCAGTAGAAGACACATTCGCTCACATTGTACTTTAGTCTATTTTCTCACTGGTTAGTTCCTTCAAAAGTTTCAATTTCATTCAATTTACCTTTAGTCCAGATCAGGCATGCAACCATCCCAAGCTAGGGCTCGCTGATCGGCAGCGAACATGTTCGATATCAAACCGTTCGGTGATCGAACATGTTCGGTTGCGAACGGTTTGGTGACCGAACATGTTCGATTGCGAACGGTTCGGTCACCGAACTATCGGTTTGGTGCATGCCTAGTTGATACCGTGTAATTCCAGTTCCGCCGGTGGTATACCGGGGAATGTAACAGACTGGCACCGGAGCGGTAACCGGGCGGTATTTCACCAGTTTTTATGCCATGGGTTATGAGTTGCGTTTGAAAAAAGATTTAAAAAGATTAATCCATGAGAATTTGGACACACCGTACTGACATCGTACACAGCTGAAATAAAGAGCTATCAAATGAACGGTGAAAAATATTTTTTTCTTGCATGGCAAGGGAGACACATCTATTTAGAGATCAAAGTGGTAAAATGCATAAAATAAGTTGCTCTACCTTGTTCACTTTGGATTAATCAAATACAGAAAAGACGTTTATGAATCCGTATGATATTAGTGAAAATGGAAACTAATTACGTACGAGTCGTAGTTGATTTGCTTAAAACATGTTTGACTAACACAAGAAATGTCAGACTAAACCATTCCAAATCATTTATCATCGTTCTCTTCGCTTCTTATTTTAACCATACAGTCCTGATGATTATTGATAAATATTTTAAATAAACTTTCTAAAATATAACAGATTAATTGAGTAGAACACACACACACACACACACACACACATATAGACACAAGAAAAAGAAAAACGTAGTTGCTATTTTTTTTTTAGATATTCCAGTTATTCTTTTCTTATACATTTTCTTTCGTATTTTTATTTCTATGACATTTTTCTTTTTGTTTCTTTGTACTCCTTGGGACTCCTATACAATCATGTGTTTCTATCATCTGCGATTTGAGCTGTCTTCTACAATAATCATGATGTTGATGTTGATGATTCAGCATCAGAGAAAAAAAAAACAAGAAACAAGAAAAACTTCAGAAAAGTCACCCTTGGGGTTTATTTCTATATATTAATAAAAATTTCTAGTTGATACTGAATAGAGAATACATTTTGTGTCTTATACATTCACACTAGTAGGACGATGAATAAGATAAGAGAAAGAGCTTGAAGTTATCAGCAAGATATATGAAAAGTTCATTAAAAAACTAGATTTTTTTCTCTCCTAATAATGCTCATACTAACATCTCTAGGAAAAATATACTGTTGATTTGTATGAACATATATTTTTATTCATTTTATTTTTTATATGTCGATAGAGAACGAAAGTACAAAATCTTTATCAGTAACGTTTACCTACCTGCAATCTGTTTTTTCTTTTTGACATTAGCTTTTTTTTTTCGGTTCAAATCAGACGTTTATAGATGCTTTTTCTACTCTCTTTTCTCTATATAGCTATATATATAATGTACAACAGAAAAGAAAAATAAATATGTACAAAAATATTATAGAAGTACATCGTTCAAATCATAGTATATAAGTAAAACGAACGATAGTTGAGCTGGATCAAAATGCTTTAAGTTCATTAGTATTAACAAAAAAATTATTTGAATAGAAAATCATTCTATATAACAGAGAAAAAAAAGTTTTTTTTGAATTAAAATATCCTTTATAAAGAAAGATAAATATCTTATATAAAAGCACAATCCATTGCCGATTTTTATACATTAAACAATGAAACGAACAATCGTTTAGTTCGAAGTTAGAACTACCGTTAGAAGTTCTAAGTTTAGAGTTAAACTACCGTTTCTTCTTAGAAATAATTCAGAATACTATGCTACATAATATCGTTCTAAAATTCTTTCAAAAATTTATTTGTTGTATAGCGTCAGTAAACTAGCTCTCATAAAACTGTATATGTATTTGCATTTCGCTTTTCAAATATATATTTTTCACGTTCTCCAATGCTTATTATAAAATAGGTTTGCATCGTTTCGGTTAACTGACGTTTCGGGTAGTCATGCACTGATTGCAATTATTATCCCATAACTATAACTACAAATAACTAGTCGAACTGACTCATCACTTAAGGAGTCTATAATCTCAACATCCGATGCGTTTTGCAGGTATACTAGAATACCTATACGCGCACTTCTACTCGAGAAAAAGTTTATTAACCGTAGACAAAATTTTTTTAATAAAACTGATAAGATTCTTATCGGAATCTTATCAGTTTCTTATATAAGATTGTTTAAGATTTTCCATCGGCAGTCGTAAGTGTCTTATCAGAATCTTATAAGATTTTCATAAGAGGTTCGTAAGAAGATCCTATGTAGTACCAAAAATTTTTATGTTACTCTTATTTATTAACAGACAACTTATGAGTTGGCGTTAGTGATTTCTGTTATGATTAAGTTGCTTCTATTGGCCGGAAGACTTCATAAGAATTTTTGGTACTTCTTATGAATTTCTGACGAACCTTTTATGAAAATCTTATAAGATTATTATAAGACACTTACGACTACCGATGGGAAATCTTAAACAATCTTATATAAGAAACTGATAAGCTTTCAATAAGAATCTTGTAAAACACGGGTAAGAGAATTAGACGTTTCTGGTAAGATTCTTATATCAGAATCGATGTCTAGGGAATTCGTTCATGTCCAAAATTTTTCTGAGAGTTGAAGAACTTTCATTGTGGATTTCATCAAGTTCCTTGTGAGCTAAGAATATCGAATTTTATGGACTCTCACCTGCAACTGCACTTTTCACATAAAAATAAAACATTCACTAAAACAAACTACTATATTCTTTAGTAATTTTTCTATAAAAGAGACGTTATATTTGTACGCTAGAATAGCGATGTGCTTTACATAGTGTCTGGTCAAAAGCATTTATAGAGGCTATTAATGAATGACTGTAGATCTCCAAAGTAATTATCATTTAAACGATTATTGAGAAAACAAATGCGTTAATAAAAAACTAACTAAAATGGCTTTTAGCCATATATACGTTATATGTACGTTTTGGATTTACAGAAAGATCAAATGAGATTTTATTTTTTATTTTCAGTTTCTTACTACTGAATTGTATTCTATAACTACTATGAGTATCTAAAGCGTTTACTAACTTTCTACAGTCGGCAATTTATATCTCGAGATTTAAGTACAATAGCGGCACTGTGTAACTGCGTAACAACTCCCTCTATTTTGCATTTGCATTACGAATTCATTCAACATACGGTTCAGAATTCTCTTCAACAACGATAATAGTAGCTGCGTAATATACTTATTTTAAAGTTCTACCACATACTTGTAGATAAAACCTTCACTTCAGATTCGCGAGAAATGAGCTAGTGAAAATTATCGTCATGTTTTTTCTTTGTTTTTTACGCATTCTTGAGTCATTTCAACTCATTATGATGCATGTTTTGTTTTCTTTCTGTTTCATACGACATAAGCAGCTGTTAGATCATCCAATTTCTGTTAGAAAGATTTCTACCCTTACTAAAGAAATTCTCTTATATAGCAAATAATTATCGACAGTCCACATCAGAGGTGCAGGATGGTTCGCATTTTGCGGACAAATTTCGGATTTTTTGAATTTTTTCCGCAATTTGTCCGCATTTTCTGCTTTTGCTGTTTTTTCCCTGAGTTAAAAATTCGTTTAAACTCATTATCATGCTCTGAAATTTATAACTATTTATCAATGCCAGAACTGCTTAAACTTATTCATTCTACCGGAAAATATACAGTCAAAAAACAACGTGTCGATTAAAATCGGGATGTACGTTTCTGTTTGTTGTTCTCTTGTGTTTTATTAAGTAAAATCACAAAGTGCTAGAGAAAACATTTTTTTGGCTATCTGCGCGTGAAAATGGATGAAGTTAGACCATGAAACTGCGTTTTTGGTTTTTTCCGCATTTCTGACCTGAGCGTCTGGCAACTCTGATCCACATACTATAGATTTTCGATTATTTTCTAAGGATTGTCAGAGTCATGTAGTAGAATTATGTTTCAAAAGTGACTTCATCGAAAAAATTTCTGGCAGTTCTGTTATTAGTGAGACTTTTCACTGTGCGTGCATTTATACTGTGTTTTTTCGGATATAGTAAACGTGTACTTCAGGTTTTTCTTCACAAGGTGTAAAACACGGTGAATATTCAGTTTTCTGAGTGTACACTTTCGATCTTCTACGTATGTCATTAAATACGCTGAAGTGCTGTATATCGCTAAATTCATCATGTTCTATTTGCTTGCGTTTTCGATATTTTATTCTTTTTCTAGACTAAAAATGTCGTATGATTTTACTGGTGGTAGTTTACGTTTAAAAGGTGTCTCATCAATTGGTAAAATATCTAAAAGAAAGAAAAAGAAGGATTTAACAAAAATCGATCATATAGCAAGTAAAAGTGAACAGCAACATTTACAAGAAACAGGCGCATCAACATCATCTTCAACAAATACAGTTCGAAAAGAGTATCGTACACAAGCAGAAATTGCCTATCAAGAAACAATGGCTAAACGTTTAGAAGAAAAAATTTTAGAAAAAGCTAGTAAAAGTCATAAACAACAAGTGGAAGAACTTAATTCATACTTGGATAAATTAACAGAATACAATGATATACCTAAAGTCAGTTGGACAAAATAAAATTGAACAATTTATCATTATTTATTAAAATGGACGCATTGTTTATATATGCACATTTTTTTCTTTTGTTGTCAGTTTGTTTGTTTGAATTAATGTATTATGTTTATCTCTTTGCTGTAAACAGAATTGTGTTTTGTTAAAGAGATATGTACAAAAATCTCAGCTGTTCTCATCTACAATATCCTTATAACTACCACTGACACTGTTAATTTGAAAGTCTTACTGTGGTTTTTTGAGTAGAGTAAAATCGTTTTCCCGTTATTAATAAAGATAAAAATGTTACTTTCGTACAGGTAAGATCTTTAAATAGAATGGATGTCTTGCATCAATGGTGTCATTCTAGCAGATGATGGATATTCAGCTCTTTCTGCTCTCATAACTCATAATTTATTACTAAAACTGATTTATATCCTCTTGCTCTTATAAAATAATAACAGTTAAATATTAGAACTAGAAAGGTAAGATAATTGAGAATATAAACATTTCCGTTATCTTTTGAGATTTTTAGAGATCAACGTGTGTATAATGAATCATCTTGACGAAATATATTTTTCCAAAATAACATCTGAAGATAAACTTCAATATTATCTAAAGGGTTCAATTGATCAAAAATCGTCAGCAATTGATCTTATACTAACAAATATTACATATGCATGGATTGGATCAAGTAAGAATAAAACAGCGAATCATTTTTCTCCTCTTTTAATCGATCGAGTATCAAATATATTCTAGTAAAACGAGATTATGTTCAGCAGTTAATGAATGGATGTGATGATTTTTATTTACACACAAAAAATGCCTTCAACAACGATTTAACAACATCGAATTACGTTTATACTTGTAAAAAACAAGTAAAAAACAAGCAAAACATGTTAACAGTAAGTAGGCAACGTCGAAAATTGATTAAATGATTTATCATAGAATTTTTTGCATACTCTTTTTATATCTTTAGTTTACGTGGAAAGAACATGTGGGTGATAATACATATATTATTATTGGACATATGGACCTAGTACAAAGTGCAGAGCCATCAATTGTAAGAACACACCTTTATCTGTTAATATTTGATCATTAAAATTTTTCAATGAAAAAACTGTTAACGTTGATCAGATACTGTTATTGATCTTACAGTGATCTGTACGTTGATTTTAAGCTTCTTTTTTGGTATCGACGACACTGTATATGCCAACTCGCTAAAATTTAGACACTTTTTATTACTTTAGAAGATATGAACATCTTCTCTTTTTCTTTTTACAACAGAAAGCTGAAAGGGAGTAGTTTAGTAAGGAGAATTTATAAAAATGCTCAAAATGTCGTGCAGATTTTCACGTCAGACTTTCAACAAAGTACCAGATTGGATTTAATGATACAATTGAAAAAAAGTGTCTGTTACATAAATTATACTCTTATTTATTTAGATTCTATGTGAAATGATGGATTATAATATTCAAATGGCAAATTATTTACGAAAAGAAAATGAAAAAAAATTAAAAGAAATTGATCTTATTAAAGCCGAAAAACTAAATGCATTAGATGTAAAAACATATTATGAATGAGACATTTCTTTACTCTAAATTGTTTTTTTTCTTCTTTTTAGCGTTTAAGTGAATTAGTCAATATTAAGAAAGATACGGAAAATGAATTATTTAGAAAAGTATGTATATAGTTTTACACTTAGCGCTAAAAGTAGAAAAAGAAGTCAAATTATTATCCTCATTATACCTGTTAACTTCAGGGTTGAACAATATTTTTTCTTCAAAGTTTTTCTAAGTTACAATTATTATTAGAAAAACGTTTTTCATTATTCATCCACTTTTTATACAAAAAGTAGTTTTCTTGTGACAACCTGTGATACATGGACAATTTTGATTAGGCACATGGACATGTGCCATAAAAGTGATACGAAAGCCTTTAAACACTATTTTCATAGGTTTTCGGATGCGCTCTTTCCAAATAGTGAGATTTACAAGTTCAAAGATGTTTTTATCAGGATTTTCCCGAGATCCGATCTCTGGAAAACCGGACTAAAAACGTTTTTGAACTTTGTAAATCACACTATTGGAAAGAGCGCATCCGAAAACCTATGAAAATAGTTTTCGTAGGCTTTCAAACTTCTAAATTAAAAATCCTAGTGACTAGCCAAAATTGCTACGGGAATGCTGCAAATCTGTCATTTCATTAAATTGAACGATTTTTTGTTAAACGAAACCTACAACTGACATGTCATTTAATGCAGTTTGGTTCCCTGATTCTAAATATATCATTAGTTTTTAATGAACGTACTTCTGGAGTGAGAAAAAATGGATTTTACCGCAAAAACCTGTAATTCAGTCCAGAAACATTTACGCTAGTTTACGCTAACGGCATAGATATATCGTTAGTAAAAGAAGATTCTGTGAAAGTTTCGTTCTATTTGAAACTGTGCACACTTACTGTACCGAGGACCGCTCTTTGGAAAACCCTCAGCCTAGAAAGAAGAATTCTTTTTTTGGTTCCGAAGGATGCAAAGAAAAAAACATTATTTTTTCAATAGGCAGAGTGAAATGTCTAGTTTCAAACGGTGTATGATTTTTATAAACATTCTATTCTATTTTGCTGAAAATTGTTTTTCGACAAAAATTCCCTTCTCGATTTTCTCACTAACTATGACACTTAGAACAAAACTTTCTGTGCCAATAAAATAGAGCATAAGTTGGAGTATATGACTTGCTGTTCGAATCTTGAAAAGGGTCACTTTCATTTTTCCCACTTGGTTGTCCACTGTGTTCACTACAAATCTGCTATTTATAAATGTCCTTAAACTTTTTCAAAATCGCCTTCTGGATCTATTAAGTTTGAGATATCGTTGGTAAAGGAACAACTGCTATATTTATTTAATTTATTATTAAAAATATACAAAAATAAATTTTCTATATCATCTCTAACACTCATTATCACTCTTAAGAATTCTTGGTTGTTGCTGTTGTTGTTTTTGTTGTTGTTGAATATTCTCTTTTATTCTTTGTTTTATATGTTTTAACATGGTCACAATAGTTTCATCTTGTGTTTGTATTTGAATAAAATCAGTTGAAATTTTTTCGATCAATTTTGGATACGTTACATCAACGGAAATTGACCATTGTTCTTTTATCTCATCTAACTCTATAATATTTGAATTTTTCCATTTTAAAAAGTCATCACTTTGTGTTTCTACTTGTATCTGAAGTTTTTCTAATTCTTGAGCATAAATTCCTAATGTTTGTGCAGACTCTTTTCGTATGGATTTTAATGTTGTTTGTTCTTCACGTTCGAATAATTGATTTATTAAATTATATGAATTATTTATATTAATCGAAGTTTGAGATGGTGTTTGATGTAGAAGAATAACTAGATTAGTATAAAATACTTGCAATGCAGCATTTATTTCATCATTATTTTTTAAATATGTACGTAATAACTGTTGTTTATAAATTATTTTGGAAAATGACGAAAGATTTGTAGTATTTGAATTAGAATGATGACAACACATTAAATATTTTAATAATTCTTTCGTTGATATTGTACATGATTGATGTTTTATTTGTGCTAAAATTGTCTGTTTTAATAAATTCCAATAAAAATCAATATTTTTTTGATTTTCATCAATTTTTTGTTTATAAATTTCAATTAATTTTTTAACACATAAATCTAATTCTTGTATTCGTTGTTTACATCTTTCAATATGATCACATGTTAATTTGTAATGATCATTTAAATTTAAAAATGTTCGAACTGGAGTGGTTGGAGTCAACGTTTCTATTTCTGGTAATTTATTTGAAGAATCTTGAACAATTATTTTTGGTAATTCTAAATTATTACAAAAATTTTTTAATGACAATGTTCTCTTCGGTTTTCTTGCCACTTTAGGACTATTGTTTAGACTGGCTAGTGGTGATAATGAATCATGACGTACATATCCACTTAATTTTGATAAAGGTTTTTTTAATGATACACGTTGATTTTTAACAATTAATTGATTGTCATTTTCATCATTTGGAACAGAATGATGAAGTAATTGATTGTCATTTTCATCATTTGGAACAGAATGATGAAGTAATTGATTGTCATTTGTAGTAATGATTGTTGGCATCATCAGTATCTGAAATGAAAAACAAAACTTAATAAAAGTTTCTTATATATATATCCTACTATGTCTAGTGCACTTTGAACTGTCAATGATTGCAAATTAAACACATAAGAATTTTTTTTCACTTACTTTTTTGTATTCAGTTTGTTGAATAATATTCATTCGTTTTTCGGTTAAAATTCTTTGATGAATAACATCATTTTCTTCTGTTGTTTCACTCTGTCGTTTTCGTAATTGTTTCTGTTGACCATCTTTAAAATTTTCATTTAACGATGGTATCTGATAAAGAATGGATGATGATTGTTGATTGTTTAAAAGAAACTCAAATGTGACCTTTCGTTTTGGTGTAAGTGCATGAAAATCAGATGTTTGATGTTTCTCATAACATTGTGGACATAGTACTCCGTAACAATGTAAACATGTATCTAATTGTTGAAATTCACTAATTTGATGACATACATCACAACATAAAGTATTAATTAGTAGAGCTAATGATGAATTTTCTTTTAAATCTTCTATAGATTGAATTTTATGTAATTTGAAACATGTTACACATTTGAAATACGATAATGATGGTAAATTTGTATGACAATTTGTTGTTAATGATGTTGCCGAAAAACGTGTATACATACTCGTTGTCCATGAATTTGATTTGGTTTTTAATTGATTCTTTATACATTTCATGCAAAATGTATGTCTGCATGGTAATTGTGTAGGTTGAATTATTGTATCCTGACATATTTGACATTTAAGACAGTTTAAATCACTTGTATTTAACGTAAATATATTGGCAATTGACGACGAGACTGTAGGCGATGGAGACTCTGATGAATTTAATAAATCATGACTGTGACTTCGAAACTAAAAAAGAGAGGAAAGTTTCTCTAGAAAAGTTCTTGTGTTAGATGGAATAGTTCAATCAGAATTAGTTTATCACTTTTTAAGACAATCCATATATTCAGTCAAATTTAGCGAAAATGTCATACTGCTCTTGTAGATTGACGAGGAGATATCACGAACTGTTACATTGTTTTTTCAGTCAAACCTAGTCGATAATAGGTTATCAACTATGCTGAATCCGAATAGCATAGTGGTAGCTGCTCAGGGACCTTTAGAGATTGTTTTTCTGGAAAATCAGTTTTTCAGAAACTCTAAAAAATAACCCAAACCTTTCTTAATAAGGCCTGATTGAAGCCAACACATTTCTGATTAAAATGAGGCATCTCCTAGCTCTACACGATGTTTTTTTTGCAAAGTTATAGAATTTACAAGAAAGGCTCTAAATGTTCATTGTCAGCTCAAAGCTACAGAAATAAGAAGAAATAAATAAATGAACATTCAGGGCTTTTCTTGTAAATTCTATAACTTTACAAAGATAGGTCGTGTAGAACTGGGAGATAAAACTTGTTTTCCAGAAAACTGCTCTCCGAAGAACCCTAGGCAGCTACCACTACAATATTCAGTTATCATACATAGTTGATAACTTGTAACCCACTAGGTTTGGCTGAAAAAGCGATGTGACAGTTCGCGAGATCTCGTCGTAAGAGTGTTGCATGAAGTATATTTCATCGAAAATACTCACTTTTTGTGTGAAATATACACTATTAAACTTATGTGTATGTATAACTATAAACTTTTCCATCTATTCGATATTGAAAAAACAATAGATAGATGTGAGGGAGTATTTTTGTCACTTTTGCTAACTATTTTTATCTTTTGCTTTTAAAAGACGAGTATGTGAATCTAGTGTATATTATATTACACTAAGGTAAACAATGTTACGGTTATAAAAACCTTTAGATAACAGTAGTTAATTAGTATACTTTTCTGTTATCGCACCTGTGTAGTAGTAGGTGGGAAAGATGTGGGTGCAGACACTTTCTGACCTAGAATTTTCGAGTTATTTAGCAATTTCTTCAAGTGAATGTGGGATCAGACTATTAATAATACGATTAAAGAAGAAATACTCAATATAATATTATATCTATCACGGTACAATTATACTGAACAAAACCTACCATCATTATTCTAGTTAAATTATATAGTCAATTAGCTCGTTTTTTTCTTTTATATAACAGGTGAATTATTATTCTTTCTCTCTTTCTCTCGTTCGTTCGTTCGTTCGTTCTTTTTTTCAAAATTGATTCAATTACCACTACATGACAAAGCAAACTTTATTATCTGTGCATCGCTCAGACAAAATAATGACGTCAACTACAAGCACATCTAGCGTACGTTTTTATCCCAAATATGTCACGATAACAAAAGTAAAATTAAATGTATCAATGTATTCTCTAAAAATAAAACGTTTATTATGAAACTTAAAAGGATATAGAGAAGTGCAACCATTTCTAAATCCTTTTAGGTTTCGTAGAAGACAAGGTGCAGCACAAAACCGTTTTAAATGCATTGAAACGATTGATAAGTGCATTTGCTTATTTTGTTATGTTTTTTTCCTCATGATTTTCTCGAGAAAAATTAAAAATTACAGAAGTTTCAGGTATTTTTTTGGCTCAGGTTTCACCGTGCTATACAATGAAAACACGTCTAAGCTGCTGAAATGGTCCACTTGCTCAGAAAAAAAACTGCTAGAATTTATGGAGTTAAACGGTTTCGTACTGCACCATGTCTTCTACGAAACCTAAAAGGGTTTAGAAATGGTTGCACTTCTCTATACTCTTTTAAGTTTCGTAATAAACCATGTTTGTTTAGAGACTAGATATCTCTATCATCAACTCGTTGTTGATTACGTGATTTTGTGTTAGAAAAGAATGAACTGTATCATGTTATCTTTGCAACAGTTTAAAACAGTGTGAGGAATATGCGCGAAAATTTTTATTTTCTCAAATCTATTATGTTTAGTACCGATCAAGATGCAATATTTTCAAATCTTTAAGGGTAATTCCTTTTCTTTTATGAAAAAATTTCCGATTTTGAGTTGAACATAGTCTAGCCTACTGGAAAAAAAAAGTGCTCCGTTTTGTCTGTTAAAAATGCGTGTTTTTACATTTTTTTTTTAATGCGCAGTCACGAAAAGAAAATTTTTAAGAGTTTCTAGAAGAAATGCGCAAGATTGTTTTATTTTCTACACGATGTCTCAAGGTCTTTTTAGAAAGCCCTTCATATTTCTAAAATAACTCTTTTCAGATCCGTACAGTCATATTTTATTGTAATGCTCCCCATAAACTTCCCATATATAGATGAACACTTCAGTTATGTTTCATCCAAATTTTAACTTGTTAAACTTTTATTTTTTGAAGATTTTTCTCTCAAAATTTTTGAAAATTTCGATGTACAAATTTGGAAAGGTTAATTTTTAAAAAAAATTTTTAACGTGTAGCTGAAGACTGACGCTTTTGTTTATCTCAAAAGTAAGGTATGCATTTATTTAGCAAGAGTTAGCATTCAAATAAAAATGCAATTGTACGACAACAATTTCTTGATTTGAAAAGAGTTATTTTAGAAATATGAAGAGTTTTCTAAAAAGAACTTTAGACATCGTGTAGAAGATGAAACAACCTTTCTCATGTCTTCTAGAAATCTTCAGAAATTTTCTTTTCGTAATCTCGCATAAAAAATGTAAAAACAAATGTTTTTATCAGACGAAATGCAGAATTTTTTGGAATTTTTTTCAGTGAATAATGTAGAGAGAAGAAGATCAAATCACTCTCAGCTTTTCACGATATTTTTTTGAAGAAGTTATGATTTTTTAAAAGTATTTTTCGAAAGCCTGAAAATAAATTTCATAAATTTTTTTCTCGTGCTGAGCAACTTGACTCGGCTACCATAATAGAATTCCGTAACGGTCTTTCATCATTTTGTTTTGCCTATAATTCCTGAATTAACTGCTGTAGAGTGTCGCGGGACATCTTAACTTGAAGAGAAAAGTCTGATTAACATTTTAAGACATTTTTCAGCCTTATAACACGTACCGTTAAGAAGCTGTAACCTAAACATTGGATACTAGTTCTTAATTTTTTCGTAAGGCTGAAAAACGTCTTAAAATGTTAATCAGACTTTTCTCTACAAGTTAAGATGTCCGATGACACTCAACGGCAGTTAGTTTAGAAAATTGTATGCAAAACAAAATGATGAAATACCGTTACAGAATTCTGTTACAGTAGCCTAGTTAGTTGGCCACGCTGTAGAGTGAAATGTTCTCTTTACAATGGGATGTTTTCCAAAGTTTTTCCAATAGTTCTACATGAAGATTTAAGCATCGCAGAAAATTTAGAATCTAAGGTAAGATCTGAAGTAGTTGTAAAAAAGAAAATCAACTCGATTGGCCGGTACTCGATTTTAGTGGTATCGTAATGTGACCGAATGAAAACGAGATTTTTTGCAGAAAACCTATAGGAGAACATGTCAGAAAAGTCTGGAAAAAATACATTGATTTTCTTTTTTGATGTTTTATCTCTGATAAAAATGAGTGGAGTCAATCAAATCTTTGCTTCTACCGATGTGTCAACAAACCAGACAATAACAAGAAGGAGAAGAGATACTCTTAAACAAATTCAAATTATTAAGTGTCATATTGTTTGTGAAAGAAGCTATTTTTTTCATTACTAATACTGAATTAAAATCAAGCAAAAAATTTTAAAATATTCTTATTCTTTTGAGTCCAAAAATGAAAGAGTTCAATACAAATAAAAGATTAGATCATCTTATGAGTCACTTTTAGTATCTATCGTTGACTATTTTTTAAAAATCAAACTAATGGACTGATTAATTACATCACTATAATTGTTGTACATACTTTTTTCATATGAGATGTCATTAATATAATCGGAACAATTGAAATTTGTTGAAAACTATGGCGTAAAAATATATTTCCCCTTGAGCGCCCTTGTATGAAAACTGACAAATAAACTTTTATTTGTGGAATAAAGATTCTGTATACATTACTTTTCTTTTTTTTCTTGTTTTTTTCTTTTTGATTCTTTTACGAAAAAGAAAAGAAAGAAAAAAATATATTTTTTACAATTATGTATGTATTGTGACACATTATTCAAGTTGTATTTTATATGTATACAGCTATTGTTTTTCGTGTGTGGTATCGATTGCACGTTCCGTGGGTGGATCACAAATTAGGAAGAAAAAGTACAAATGTTATTAAAAATTCATTTTTAATCAGTTTAATTAGGATCAATATACTCTTTTTTCTTATTTTATTGTAGAAAACGATGTATATTATTAGTGTAGTACATAAAAGAATTCTATAAGAAAAACAAATATACAAGAGATCGAAGGAGAGAGAGAGACCAAACAGTACAATTTGAACAGAAGAATGAAAAACACTTTTTTTCAGTTGTATTTTTTTATTATTATTAAACTCATGTCTAAATAAATAAAAATGAAATTTCTGTTAAATAACTTTTTAAACAGGTTAAACATGTTTCTAAATGAAATTAATGAAGTAAATATCCTCTTTTGAGTCATAATAATAAATAATAGATATTGTGTAAGATTTCGTCACTATAGAATTGAATCAAAAATAGAAAATATACGTGTATTATATTTTGTTTTTCACCTTTAAAATCGTGTCGTGTCCATCTTGTCACCTTTTATTTGTATGAGTGAATATATTTATTTCATATTTTTCACGATTGATTAATGACGAATTATATCTATGATACATTTTTTTTAATCAAAAGAAAGGGTATATAGTACTTGTTATGTGTATGTGAAGATAAATTATTATTATAGTTTGATAATATTGTGTTAAACAGTGACACATTTCTTTATTCGAAGAAAAATAATATTTATTAGTAGAATGTTTTAAAAAAATATATTTTATAATGATATTGACCTTATCTATAAATCCTACTCATACACTTCACTTATCTTTAATCACTGAGCTTTATACATTATTAAATAAATACTTTTTTAGTAAGAAATTTTTATTTATCTACATCATATCATCTAATTGACAGAGGAGTATAAAACGAACATATGGAAGCGAAAGCATTTTAAACAATGTTAAGTTTCCACCATGGTCAATGACATTCGTATGTATACCGAGAACTTTTTAAAAAACATATATATCGTTTGTACTTGAAATAATTGTATAGCGTTATATCGTAAGATTTGACATGTTATGTAAAAGTGAACAAAAAGTTAAATTAATGAAAACCAAGATTTAGTTAAGGGTATCGTCGCCCCCTCCTCCTATTTTTGGACTTTCCGCAGAAGTGCTGTAGAAT